CACCGCAGGTGACCCAGCAAGTTGCCGCCTGCACACTACTAAATTTAGCCAAGGAATCTAGGCTTAAGTGACGTTTTGGTCTTGAAAGATTTCGAGTCATATAAAGTATTCTCCATTTAAATCTGTAAGCCTTCTATTGTGTAATATTTGCAAAAAAATAATTGGCATTGGTAGACAAATGGCAGTAGGGTGTTTCTGTTTATACCATGTCTACATAACGCCTATATTAACCAGTTGACATCCGCGGTGTTAAACCCCCTTCCCATCCAGGCCATTTTTCAGTATTCAGCGCTGCGGTACTTTGACTGACATTTATTCCGTCATGCAGCGCTGTACTGAAATTAATTGTATACCCTTTTTTGAGGACAGATAGAGCTTTCTTTTGGTGGTATTTATTCACCACTGCGGGTTTTATTTTTTACTATATTAAGGAAAAATTACTGAAATTTAAAAAAAAACAAACACGTTTCCCCTATATTAAATGATAAAACATTTATTATTACCAAAGTTATTTGGTAAAATATAAAAGACGGGGTCACGTCGGGTAAAAAGACACTTGGGCGCGTGAGCAGAAAAAAAATGCCGTCAGGCGACAGCAACTCACCAATGCTGCAGTGCCGTCCGTCCGTTTTTTTACAACGGGCGGACGGCAAGTGGTTAAAATCTATATATTTTTTTAAATCTGATTGTGTGATGCTAAGCTTACTGATTTTGTGGTGAAATTTCAGTCATGCCCAGCTCTGTCTGAAGGTTTATTTTATTTTTTACAACACTGAGACTGGCAAACCCTTTCTTAGTCGCAGTCACGGCACTGATATCCTTTGACTGCCAAATATCAGCTGGGTATGAAAAGACTGGTTGTATGTGGAAGCAGCTGATCCTGTGTTCCATCGCCCACCTTCGATGTCCCAGTCACCATTTTTTGCTTTTAATGTGATTTTTTTTTAATTGAATTTTTACTCCACAGGTTTATTATGAAGTTGAAGAACTTCTCAGATAGTTCAACACCTACACATGAAAAAGCTTTTTCAGTTTTATGGTAAGTGTTTTGGCAAAACATATCTCCTTTCATTTTGATTCTGAACATTTACATTGTTGTTCACAAAAGGGTGAAGAGTTTGGAGTAGGCAGGAGAAGTGAGCAATCTAGGACAACATAGCTGAACTGGAAATATTCTCCCATTCAGCTCACTTTCCAGCTGTTTTGTCCTAGATTGTTCTTCTCCTGCCTTCTCCAAACTCTTCACCCTATTGTGAATAACCCTTCTAAAATCATACCAGTCTGGTCTGATCCCTGCAACCGTGCTTACATATATGATTTTTCTATTACCCCTAGCATGCGTTGCCAGTCCGTTCTCTACATGGCGATGTTTCGCTACAAAAAAGACACTGCATTAAAGTATTCCCGCACTCTTGGGGAGCACTTCAAGGTAATAAAGCTATATTTTTTTTTATAGTTTTTATAACTTGGAAAATTTTAAGAATTTGGAATTATCGGAGTATTGTGTTACATTTGTGAGACTTGTCACAGACCTAACTAATTACACTATTTGTTCCCTCCAGAGTTCATCAAGAACTGCTCAAGCACCTTCTCCGTGTGTTGCTAGGTAAGCCTTCATTTTGTATGGAACAAAATCTTAGTAAAATGCCACATGCTGCAGTAAATGAAGATTAAGAGCAAGGCTAGGTTCACACCTGGGCGACTCGTGACCACAAAACCGCCCACCACAGCCAATCTCACTGTGGGTGCCATTATTTTCTAATGGCACCCCAGTCGCGCTGAGGGGATCGCACGGTTTCCTGCCGCCATTCCGCCCATGTAGTTGAAGACGATAAAAAGCTGTGCGTTGTGTGTTGCAAAAAAAGGTACTTGTACTTTTCTTTAGCGATTGCTGTGCGGATGTCACCCCATGGGGCCGCGCAGCAACCCCTGTGTGCACTAGCACATGGATCGCACGGCCCCTGGACACGTGGCCCGAGTGTCGCTGAGGTGTGACCCTAACAAACGTTTGCTGCTGTTAAAAAACCAAAACAGACCTCCTCAATGTTTATAAATGCTGCTCAGAGGAGATATTGTTACTTTGTTTTTACTCTGTTCCATTCATCTGCAGATAAAAGGGGTGACCTTTTTGAGCTGCATGTAATGTCAAAGGAACCTTACAAATTATTTATTAAATAATACTTGTTCCTATTTAATTCCTTGTTGACGCTTAGCTTATCTACTCAGCCCTGATTAACTTCTTCTCCCCTCACCTATCATTCTCCTGCTTTTTTTTCTAATTTATTTAACCATTAACATATTTTTAATTGCCTGTTCAATGCTTTGAATTTTAAGTCATTTTTAAACGAGACAAATTATAAAATACAATTAAAACTTATCTACAGTAACTTTTTGTTTAAACTATTAAAGTAGAAAAAAAGTGAATTAAAAAAAAAATGTTTTATGTTTTTCATCTGTGAATTAAGAAAAATAAAAAGGAAGTATTGACCCTATTACCAAGTGAACTTTGTTTGTTTTAACAAAATGATATATACAGTGGGGGGAATTTATCAAGACTGGAGCAGACAGAATCTGCAGCAGTTGTCCATAGCAACCAATCAGCTTCTCTCTTCAGTTTAGTTAAGATTTGAAAATGAAAGCATCTGATTGGTTGCCATGGAGTATGGGCAACTGCTTGCAGATTCTATCTGCTCCAGTTTCTGTCTCCCCCTGTATGTATTATGTTATGTTGAGTAATGACAAAGTTATAGCAGAATGAACAGGCCCATAGCAAAATATAAATGTTGCTCTGATCCTCATACAGCTGTGAGAGCTGAAATGGTTAAAATGGCACAGGTAGCATTTTTCTGCATTTATGTGCATTAAACCGATTGAGATGAATGGCAAATGCAATTTTTTTTATTTTTTTTCTTACATATTTGGATCAAAGTCTTCTTTTTAGATGTTTTCTACCTCACTGCATAAGGCATAAACAAAAAGTATACTTAAAAAGCATATAAAGGCGCCTTTTAAAGAAAAAATCGGTTGCAGTAATTTACACCGAGAATACAGTACATCTCTCTCCATTTATTCTGTTTCCTTGACCCATCTGGTTTGATAGAAGTAATCTCACTATTCCCATTTTTGTCTTTATCTTTAGTTATTATGCTCAGTATGTTTTATGTCTGCTGTTCCGCAATAATGTATTGTAAAACAATAAGCCAAATATGTTACCCGAGGGATCACCGAATACCGGTAAAAAAAGAAATCCCTAGTTAGCCCTTGAATGGTCATCTATGATCTTGAATTTGATATACTAGTGACACAAGAGCTGATTCAGCAGTGTATAGTTGATGTCAGATCTTCACATGTATGGGCCATAGCAGTGTTGTACAGGGGCTAAAAGTAGCTCTGGCATAGAAAGCACAATACCCACATGTTAACATGCAGGCAATAGTATGACTGCAACAATTCTGTACTTAATTGCATTTCATTTTCCTGATTTAGAAAAATGGAAATTAATAGGTTTGCTTAAAAAACTGAGCTCACACAAGCCCATTCGCATAGGATTGATGTATGTAAACCAAGATTGTTTAAGGGCTACAAAGAGCTGCAGTGAATATTGCTTACCCCACCTTCATTTTTGGCTAGTTTAAAAGTCCTGTATTGAACATTTCCATATTCTGCCCTGTCTGCGCTGTGAGCGGGCTGATATTTTCACACAAGTGGATAGCAGCAGTAGTACAATAGGTCCTAATAATATTATACATCTCTTTCCCCTAATCTCTGGATTGGACAGATCTCATTTTGTACTGTATTTTTAAACTGTACAATACCTTCTTTGTGCTAGAAGTTCCGGTACACCGTCTCCACTGTCCCCGACACCTTCTCCTGCCAGCTCTGGAGGATCTCAGCCAGGGTCCAACAGTGGGGGCCAGAGCAACTCTGTAACCATCCCTCAGATGATTCATCACATAGCATCATCTTATGTCAACATCACCTCCTACATCCTCTATGCCTATGACATATGGGAACAAGCTGATGTGCTAGCAAAGAAAAACAAAGGTATGTTTTGGATTTTG